CTGCCAGGACTGAATCCTTCTACCCGAACCAAGCTAAGCAAGCTGTCAGAACTCAAGAGCCTTGCTGCACAATACCTGTAAAAGCCCATTACCTCGAACACATACGAAGAATTAATCACATCCTTACCATACCGATTCGGTCTACTATCAAGCTATTCCATCTATCAAATTTCCATTTTTGATTCATCATCCACTTGATATTTCTCCCTCGCTGTAGCATCACAATGCCTCAATCCAAGCTTACCACACGAGACTCGAACATAAGACCACACTGTCTAAGGCCCATAGGCCACTGAATACTCTCTCAATTGTCTCCCAGAAATACCACATTCCAGAATACTTCACTCTGAGAACTTTCTGCGAATCTAAATTCGCTTCCTTTACTTTCCAAGTATCGACACATAGGATCCCATGATCAACATAAAAATACCCCAAGTCTTGACATTTTCTATTGAAAACACTGTCTTTAGTCACATACACCACCTTAAAACACCTGAGTGCTACATGTAGATTCTTGAACACATTAAAATCATTCTCGAGAGTCATTCTCTCTTATTCATCTGCAATTTACCTGATTTAACGGACAGAACCACTCGTGCATTATTGACACTCCGATACCGTAAAATGAGACCCTCATCCCAATAAAACCAAACAACTTTCTGCTCTATGCACCGAGCATTCTTTACCAACAACAACTCTAGACTTTCCGAAATTCTCATACCCTATGGAACATAATATAACCTTTGTCGAAATTTTGCTTCACTCGCCCATCCTCGGCTCAATTTCTGCAACTAGAACCGATTCGCCAGCATACCTCGAGACGTAACCAACATAGCACATAACCGTGCATTCAGCTAATCAACAGCAATCTCCCCAACTTGGCTCGAAGCCATGTATCAAGACACACTTAACAACTCATCACACTTTTACTCTAATGATGCCACAATGTCATAGTGAGATTAAACTCAAATCATCTACAAGTTTGTGAAAACACAGATCATCTGGTACTGAAATCCTCTACAAATCTCGTATTCATCCCCACATCAGTTGAGTCCACCCTCTAGAGCGACCCGAATTTATCAACTTTCAACTCGTACTCTTCAATTACACATGAGATCTTCTAATAATACACATAAGAATCATACCACTTAAGAACGCTCCGCAAGAGATAATCCACCTGCTCCACCTCAATTCAGTATTTCAGCACACCTTCCACCATCACATACATTACACAATCAATTTAGTCTTCCTGCGTCTGAACTCATACCGCCACATGTAATGCACTTTACTTACCAACTAGGAGACACGGAAATATTCTTCACGCGCCCTTAATTCGGGCTACACATCAAATCACAATAAGAATCAAACATTTAACAGTTCATCTATTATCCAACAGACTCTTCGTCACTACCAAGTCATGTAGACACATCTCACAATTCTAACATACTCAGCACAGGGATATCCAACCGCCATTTCGGCTAATAAGGACATTACCGAACATATAAGTTCAAAACACTTGCTCACACAATCAGCACCTCAGTGCTCAAGCCATAGGCACAGATCCGGCCTCAAGTCCTCCATACTGGCCCAACCTACTCACGAAGATCACATCTCGCCCCTAGATCGGGGAATCGCAAGCCATCGAGGCACATATAATACTGAGCGCTCACGTGCGCATACCGACGTGTGGAAGGAATTTCAAGAGTTATATCTCAGGCTGAATCAAGTACGCACGATAAGAATTCCAAGAATGGGAAGTTTTCCTAAAGGTTCTGCAGCCTCTCGAGGATAAATACAGACGTCTCCGTACCGATCCGCGAGACTCTACTAAACCGGCTCATGACTCGCGAGGCCTAGTAGCCTAGGCTCTGATACCAACTTGTCACGACCCCAAACCCGGTCGTGATGGCGCCCAACACTAATGCTAGGCAAGCCCGACCAATTAAACACTCTCAACCCAAATACGCAAACTGTTAACCAATAATACTATTACAATAGTAAGTATCAAGTTCCAAATCCGAAATTTAGATAAAGTAGTACGAAAAATAATAACGAATATATCAAACATTTCCCGAATAGATCCGGAGTCACGAGTCTAGAGCCTCTAAATGTAACAGAGTGTTATATTCATAGTAATAAAGAAAAGTCTATGATAGGAAAAGACAATGCAATAAAGGGGAGAAGTCGGGTCCTGCGGACGTCAGGCAGCTACCTCAACAACTCCTAAACCGAAATCCAAGATGACAGTAAGCAGCTCCACTAAGTCTCCGGAGCACCTGAATCTGCACACATGGGTGCGAGGGAGTAAAGTGAGTACTTCCAACTCAGTGAG